AATTTAGAAGTGTTCATTCTTGTTCAGGAATGAAAAACCAGAGAACCCGGGAAGATGTTTTTAATTGTATGTATCTATTCAGGTGAACTCACAAGCTGAGCCTTGGTCGAAAGGAAAATTTTCCACTAGGCTCAAAAGCTGATCAGTGCGAATAAAGCGAGGGAGAGCGCAAGCTCGGTCTTTCGCAACGGGACTGTTTACAACTACGAAGGACTTTTAAAGCGTTTAGTATTTGTTAACTCAACGATGGCAAATGAAATTATTGTCTTTTTTAGATCGTTCACCGCGACCTTGCCGCTCGCAACGTCTTGGTTGGGGAAAAGGAAACTTGCAAGGTAACCGACTTTGGAATGGCCAGAGACGTGAACCAGGAAAACATCTACGAAAGGAAGACAAAGGTTCCTGCTATATGCAGCCTTCTCGCATATCAATTTTTTAGAAGCTTTAGGAAAGGCTTCTTCTCTAGCTTCTGTACTCACTCATTTTACGTTATTTTTCTCTGACTTTTAAGAGCCGACTCCCAGTTAAATGGACTGCTTATGAATCACTCTTGTTTGGACGATACACTACAAAAAGTGATGTGTGAGTAAAAACAGAGAAACAAAAACAATGAATACTGTAAAAGTATGGATTAGGATTCATTTGTATTGCGTTGGACGTTGTTGAGCTGTAGACGACTTGCGCGAATCATAGCCCACAGCTTTGTATAACAACCGTTGTTTTGGTTTTGAAACATAGGTGGAGTTTTGGAATTTTACTTTACGAGATCTTTACCATAGGTATGTTTCAGTGTTGTATTGTGGCACAGGTTTTCTAATAACCAGATTGTTATGTTTATTACTCCGTTATCACGGTAACCGACGGGCCATGAAAATTTGATTGGTGTAAATTACGTGAGGCCTTCTCACATGAAGCTTAAGACATGATTTATCTTTCTCTGCAGTTCAAATATGTGATCTTTCATATATTCATTTACATTCTTAACCATCTACAGGTATATTACGAACTCACAACGTGACCAGCTCCCAGTCATATCACAATTGCACTTCTAAACAAGTGTTCTTAAGTACGCATCTGGAGTGCAGATATAATTTAAAAAAAGAACCCTCAATCAGTACATACGATATTAACAATGGAAAAAAGTGAACATGACCAGTCTGAGTGGCCGTATAAACGGGGTAAAGTTATAAAGCATTATAAAGGTTGGAATTTTATAATGTGGTCGTTGCCCGTATTAACGGGGTGGCCGCATTAACGGGGTTTTCTTATTAGATGATGTATGGGCGTACTAACGAGGTGACCGTAAGGTGGGGTTCCTTTATAATTGTGTTCTACTGGTTAATTCAGGTTTGGTGACAGTTATCGCAGAGAAATTCTGACTCTAGCTTGGTGTTCTTTGCCTCTGTCTAGGTGGCTCGCCCTACCCGCGGATGGATGCCAGAAAAATGGCAGATATCCTTAATCGTGGCTACAGGATGCCTAAACCAAGCCATGTGGATGAGGCTCTGTAAGTACTTTGGGAATTATGTAGCCGTGGTAAAACCAAATTGAAAAGCTTTTATCAAAGCTTTGATAGCTAATGAGTACTGTTCTTCTCTGGTAATTCATTTTGACTTTTTATATAAAATAATATATGTGTACGAATCTCTCTCTAAATCAGTATCATTTTGCAGTTACAAGATTATGCAAGACTGCTGGCGAGAAGATCCTGATGATCGCCCAACGTTTGAGAATCTTAGAGATGAATTGAAGGAAATGGAGAACCAGCACCAGGTAACCTGTGAACAACCGCTCTTTCCTAAAATTCCCGATTCCTTTTTTCAGTGGCATTTCTCTTGTCGATGACATGAGTGATTTTTCAAGTTAATCGAAAAATATATGCTTATCACGAGTAATTATTATTTCACATAAGTTATAACTGTTTGAAAAATAAGTGAATGCAGTCATCCTTTCGTGTGTTTTCAAACTTAAATCCACACACAGTACAAAGGCATTTCTGGATCAAAGTTTGCTGTCGTTCGTCTTTTGTAAAATTATTTTCGAAAAAGTGATATTTTTAGCGAGTTTGGACTATAATTTAAGAAGTACTAAACCACTCTGAAGTGACCCATTAAGTGACTTGAATCTTATTTTTTACAGAGGTTCATCAACTTAAAAGATTATGACAGGAAACTCTACGAGAATGTAGAAGATTTGATGTGCTAGATCATAGAGATATACATCGTGTTATCGTTTGCATATCTTGACAGCAAAAGAGTGCAATGCAAGATTGATGTTTTAGATAGTACTAGTTTCATGTAGCCAGTAAGTAGTTATGCAGAAGATACAAAATAGTTAAACGTATTTTTCTAAACTTTGTTAGAATAAGAAACAATAAACAAAATTAGAACGAACATTCTTTCCTCTTCTATACCATCAAAGGGGAGGTGCAGTTTGATATTTGAGTGTTTTAGCTGTATGCTTGCTTCAAGAAGCACGCGAATTAGATTTGTATCCTCTTTTGAACCGGGCGTATATCGATAGACTTTTTGTGGGAACAACAAAATCAGCAACCATGCAGAAATGCCTTCTCAGCGTTACATATATAGAAAAGGATGAATTCCTCGATCAAAGCTTACATATCAGTACATGTATTACCAGTAAAATGACTGGAGTTTCGCTTAAATAATGGCAAATGCTCTCATTAATCCAATATAATTANTAGCCGTGGTAAAACCAAATTGAAAAGCTTTTATCAAAGCTTTGATAGCTAATGAGTCCAGTTCTTCCCTGGTAATTCATTTTGACCTTTTATATAAAATTATACATGCACGAATCTCTTTAAATCAGTATCATTTTGCAGTTACAAGATTATGCAAGACTGCTGGCGAGAAGATCCTGATGATCGCCCAACGTTTGAGAATCTTAGAGATGAATTGAAGGAAATGGAGAACCAGCACCAGGTAACCTGTGAACATCCGCTCTCTCCTAAAATTCCCGATTTCTTTTTTCAGTCGACGACATGAGTGATTTTTCAAGTTAATCGAAAAATATATGCTTATCATGAATAATTATTATTTCACATAAGCTATAACTGTTTGAAAAATAAGTGAATGCAGTCACCTTTTGTGTGTTTTCAAACTTAAATCCACGCACAGTACAAAGGCATTTCTGGATCAAAGTTTGCTGTCGTTCGTCTTTTGTAAAATTATTTTCGAAAAAGTGATATTTTTAGCGAGTTTGGACTATAATTTAAGAAGTACTAAACCACTCTGAAGTGACCCATTAAGTGACTTGAATCTTATTTTTTACAGAGGTTCATCAACTTAAAAGATTATGACAAGAAACTCTACGAGAATGTGGAAGATTTGATGTTCTAGATCATAGAGATATGCATCGTGTTATCGTTTGCATATCTTGACAGCAAAAGGGTACGATGCAGGATTGATGTTTTAGATAGTGCTAGTTACATGTAGCCAGTAAGTAGTTATGCAGAAGATGCAAGATATTTAAACGTATTTTTCTAAACTTTGTTAGAATAAGAAACAATAAACAAAATTAGAACGAGCATTCTTTCCTCTTCTATACCATCAAAGGGGAGGTAAAGTTTGATATTTGAGTATTTTAGCTGTATGCTTGCTTCAAGAAGCACGCGAATTAGATTTGTATCCTTTTTTGAAGCGGGCGTATATCGATAGACTTTGTGGGAACAACAAAATCAGCAACCATGCAGAAATGCCTTCTCAGCGTTACATATATATATATATAGAAAAGGATGAATTCCTCGATCAAAGCTTACATATCAGTACATGTATTACCAGTAAAATGACTGGAGTTTCGCTTAAATAATGGCAAATGCTCTCATTAATCCAATATAATTACATTACTTTTAAGGTTCGAAAGTTCTACGGATTGTATCTCCCGTTTGATAAAACTGAGTAGATAGTTTCGATTGTAATGTTTGCTGTTTGTTTTCTTTTTCTTAAGGCAGAACACTTTTGCCGTTTTGACTGCAACATTGCAAAAAAGTCTGACTTCTTAGTGTGCTCAAACGGTCTAATCTGTCTGCTAACTTGATCTGTCTGTAGTGTTCTTAGTCGTATCTGTAGGTTCTAGACTCGCAATTTTGACGTGGTCGTAAAAGTACCGCACTTCGCTCAAGCATCGGTGTTCTAACCATTCTCAGAAGAAATATTTATTTCTTTGGTGGTTGTTCGTGTCAGTTTAGGTCATGGTGCATTAGGTTTTTGTTAAACCTGCTTATCTAGAATGCAGTCCGTTAAGTTTATAAGATTTCTCAGTTTTTATAAACATTTGTAAAGCCTATTTAGGCCCATGTCTTTTTTAGCTTGATATATCGAAGCAGCTATCCCAAAGCTATCTTGGCAAAGGTTAGGCTTTTATTT